GGGGGGCGCAGGGAGCAGGGCGCAGGGAGCAGGGCGCGCGAGCCGCCAGCACGCGGAAGAAGGAGTGGAAGGAGGCAAGGGGACGAGGGGAGGAGGGACCACGAGGGGGAGGGAGGGAGGAGGGGCAGGGGGCTCGTGCGCGCCCGCGGAGGGCCACGAGGGTACAGGCAGAAATACAAAGGGCAGCCACCGACGACGACGATGACGACGACGACGACGACGACGACGACGACGACGACGACGACGACGACGACGACGATTGAGGCAAAGAAGAAGGAGAAGGAGAAGCAGAAGGAGAAGAAGAATGAGAAGAAGAATAATAATCATAAGACGAACGATGACGGCGAAACGACACAACAACGACGAGCGACCGCAGCGACGCAAACGACCACGACGACGATGACAACGACGACGACGACGACGACGACGACGACGACGACGACGACGACGACGGATGCGTGAGGAGGACGGCCCGGGGGGGAGGGTTGGCTGGAGCGAGGGACGGCTGGGAGGAGGAGAAGGAGAAGGAGGAGGAGGAGGAGGGGGAGGAGGAGAAGGAGGAGGAGGAGGAGGAAGGAGGGGGAGGAGGAGGAGGAGGAGGGAGGAGGAGGAGGAGGGAGGAGGAGGAGGAGGAGGAGGAGGAGGAGGGAGGGAGGAGGAGGACGACGACGAGGAGGAGGATAAGGAGGAGGAGGAAGGAGGAGGAGGAGGAGGAGGAGGAGGAGGAGGAGGAGGAGGAGCGAGGGGGAGGAGGACGACAGGCTCGCGTCGCAACGACGTCGCCGCGCTGGTCTTCCGACGCCGTGCGGCCCGCCCCGCCTTGATCACTCGACATCGACCGATCCTGTGCCCGATGGCAGCTAAGACGAAGCCAGGACGAAAGTAACATCGGGTGATGATGAATCCCCCTGTCCTTCTGCTCTCTCTCTCTCTCTCTCTCCATTTCCCCGCTGCACCCCTCCCCCCTCCCCCTTCCCCCTTCCCCCTCCTCCTCCTCCTCCTCCTCCTCCTGTTAGTATTATTCTTATTATTATTATTATGTGTCTTCTTCTTCTTATTATTATTATTGTGCTTCTTATTAATAGTATTATTATTAGTATTATTATGCTTATTATTATTATTAGTATTCGTATTATTATTTTTATTCTTATTATTATAAATAATATTATTAGTATCAGTATTAGTATTATTACTATTATTAGTATTAGTATTATCATTATTATTATTAGTATTATGAATTGTATTATTCCTTCTCCTCCTCATCCACCTCTTCCTCATCCTCCTCCTCCTCCTTCGGGGATCTACTGACCCAGGACGAAGATAAAATCGGTTGAGGACAAATCGAGAATCTCTGAGATCTTGCGGCTCTGGAGGATGTCTCGGGCACCACGGCCCTCTCAGAGCGTTCCAGAACGCCCTGAGAACGCTCCAAAACGCTCGGAAGCGGATTTATCCTCGTCCTAGCGCCGTCCGAGCAGCGTTCACAATACACGCCTGCGACAGGGGTCGCTGCCGCTTCGACGCGGCGGGAACCAACCAGACGAGGGGTGGAGCCCCGGCCTCCGACGGACCGGAGAAGCGCGCCACGAAGGGGGCGCTCCACTCCTGTAGTGTTCTTCTCAGCACCCAGGAGGAGGAGGAGGAGGAGGAGGAGGAGGAGGAGGAGGAGGAGGAGGGAGGAAGACGAGGAGAAGGAGGAGGAGGAGGAGGAGGAGGAGGAGGAGGAGGAGGAGGAGGAGGAGGAGGAGGAGAGGAGGAGGAGGAGGAGGAGGAGGAGGAGGAGGAGGAGGAGGAGGAGGAAGGAGGAGGAGGAGGAGGAGGAGGAGCGGGGGGGCACAGCCCCTGGGTACCAGCAAAAACTTCAAATCGCCCCATAGCGCAAAAAAACGGCTCCCATTCTGCCTGCGCCGCCCCAGGCAACCCGCGCGGACCTCCGGACGCTGAGGCCTACAACGGCACTGATGTTTGGCACTGTGGTCCGAGTGCTGTCCGAGGGAAGCTCGCTCAGGAACGAGGCCCCTGTTCGGCCCGACTGCCCACGGAGGTCCGAGGATCGAGGACGGGACACTGAATGCCCAGACTGAAAACCAAAAACTCCACCGACTGGGCTTCGTCGGACTCGATCTCATGCGCGCGGGAGCGCGCGCGGGAGGAGAGGAGGAGGAGGAGGAGGAGGAGGAGGAGGAGGAGGAGGAGGAGGAAAAGGGAAAGGAGGAGGAGGAGGAGGAGGGTGAGGAGAAAGAGGAGGAGGAGGAGGAGGAGGAGAAGAAGGAGAAGGAGGAGGAGGAGGAGAAGGAGGAGGAGGAGGCTATGGCTTATCACCGGAGCCCGCGCAACGCAACAAGGAGGAGCAGGAAGAGGAGGAGGGGGAGGAGGAGGAGGAGGAAAAGGAGGCGGAGGCGGAGGAGGAGGAGGAGGAGGAGGAGGAGGAGAAGGAGGAGGCGTGCGCGGTTGCGCGCGCGGAGGGGGAGGAGGGAGGACGAGCAGGAGGGGGAGGACGAAAAGGGAGGACGATGAGGGGCAAAGGAGGGAGGGCAGGAGGGGAGGACGAGCAGGGGAGGACGAGGAGGGGCCAAGGGGGGGGAGAGGAGGGAGGACGAAGAGGGAGACGAGGACGAAAAGGGAGGACGAGGAGGGACAACGTGGGGGGAAGGGGAGGAGGAGCGGTGGCCACGACTTGGCCCTCTCGCCTGTAGCTCTCGTCGCTGGGCTCCTCCACGTCGAAGGCGACGCGGTCCCCGACGGCGAGACCGCTCTCGGGCTCCTCCCACTTGGGTATCAGCGGGTCCCTGCCGTAAACGTCCGAAATGTCCTGGAAGGACCAGGGAAGGGGGAGACAACAAGGGCCCTCCTCCTCCCTCCTCCTCCTCCTCCTCCTCCTCCTCCTCCTCCTCCTCCTCCTCTCCTCCTCCTCCTCCTCCTCCCTCCTCCTCCTCCTCCTCCTCCTCCTCCTCCTCCTCCTCCTTCTCCTCCCCCTCAGTCTCCTCCTTTTCCTCCTTCCTCTCCTCCTCCTCCTCCTCCTCCTCCTCCTCCTCCTCCTCCTCCTCCTCCTCCTCCTTCCCCTCCTCCGCCTCCTCCTCCTGGATGGGGGGGGCACGCCACTCGATCAAGGCCGGCCTGGAACTCATCCACTGCATCCATCACCATTTTCTCCGTCCGAACGAGGCCGACCCAAGAGCTGAGCCGCGCGTGGGAGCTAACCAAATGAACTCGTTAGACGCGTCCCTGAGTCAGCCCTGCGGCCCGGTCTCAACCAAGGGGGACTTTCTGAACTCCAATGTTGTGTCCCCATGTGCATCGCAGCACCTCCAAAGCAACTCGAGAGGACCCCGCTGGAAAAAGCGATGTGTGCTGGCTAGCAAAAACGCATGGGGGCTCGCCCTGCCTCTCGGCTAGCTTGGTCACCTCGCCCCCACTCGGGGCCCCCACTGTCAGCCCCAGAGATCCGACGTCGTGATTTTTTCAATGCGGGGTCCCCGGAGGTCTCGACCCATTCCCCAGGACCGGTTTTTCATCCTGAGTCGTTTTTTGACGGTCCCGAGGCCCGGCGAGGGCCCCCAGGGGCCGAAAGGAGCGAAAACCCTCCGTCGTGATTTTTTCAGGACGTTGGATCTCTGGGGCCCTCGAGAAACCTGGCGACCCTGGCCCCGCGCAGCTCCCAGGGCCTGCGGGGCCCCACCGCTGCACGAGGACCCAAAGGGCACTGCTCCGACCTCCGGCAGGAGGTCAAAGTTTGCGGGGAGCCCGCGCGCGAGAGGGCCCGAGGGGGGCAAGCTCCGAGCGAGGAGCAAAACCTACGGCCCTGGTTCAACCAGGGACACCTCCTCCTCCTCCTCCTCCTCCTCCTCCTCCTCCTCCTCCTCCTCCTCCTCCTCCTCCTCCTCCTCCTCCTCCTCCTCCTCCTCCTCCTCCTCCTGGTGGGGCTTGGACAGCGCCATGCAACAAAAAGCACGGATGCCACCCCCCGTGCTGCTTCCTCCATCTCCGCGCCCCACTCTCGCGCGACAGCGCATCGGCTTGCCCTGCCCGCGCGCGCTTCCAGCCACTTCTGCGAGGATGGTCGAGTCCCGTGACCAAGTGGAGGGCGACAAAGAGGATGCCCATGTCGCTCACGCGGACCGATGGACCGGTCCCCTGGGCCTCCAGGCCTGCCGAGCGCCCCCCCTCCCCCCCCCCCGCGCTGCTCTCTTGATCGATCGGTAGACTGGCACACGATGCAGATGCTCGTTTGGTCATGGCCGAGACTCCACCACGACGCTCACCGCTCGAGGTGCCCACTGCCGGCCGCGAGGTGGCCGACCAGCCGCGCCCGCCCAGACGCTTAGATGCCTGCGCGCGAACGGGGCCGTGCAGGCGATGCTCCGCAGCGAGGCGCAGGATCCCCCCCCTGGCCACGCGGAGCGCACCTGACCCCGCACATCCCCCTCCAGCCGAAGCTCTGGGAGCCGCGCTCAACGCAAGAAGAACCAGCACTGGCACGGCCAGACGAAGAGGCCTTACCCTTAACACCGCTGGACGCGATCCCCGTTGGCCTTGGCATATCAGGCCTCCACCTCGCCCCGGCGCGACTATGGCCGCGGCCGCCAAAATTCGCAACTGCCGCAGGAAGCGCTCTAGGTTCACGATCACATTGCGACTCATCAGCTTCAGCCACTGGCACAGCAACTCCAGAATTCGGAAAGCGCAGCTCCTGAGGCGCCGTCATCATCGGCAGCGCGCCCCCCCCCTCCTGCATGAGGAGCCGAGGAGCCCCCTTTCACAACGTCGACGCTTCGTTCTAGAACGCACCCTGGTGTTGAACTGCTTCTGCGCCCCCAGCATGGTCGACGCTTGTCTTGAGCTCAACGAGAGCATCCTAGTATCCTCGGTGCCCTCCTGGAGCAACGCCAGCAGCTCGCCCCCCCGCTCATGAAGCTCGCCCCAATCCTCGGCGACGATCTCGAACCCATCCAGGCCGTTGAGCCCGGACAACTGCAATCGTGAAAATCGATATTTCCAGAATGCAGATCCTGCAAGCTGAAACTCTGCACCTGCTGCTGCGCGGTCCCGGATGGGAAAACCTTCGCGGCCAGCCCTGGCTCCTGATCCGCCGTACTTTGGATGATTTTCCGACCTAAAACTGTATCGGAAATCGACGCCAAAGGAGCCTCAAGGGCGGAAATCGACGCTCAAAGGGGCCTCAAAAGTAGGGCGGAAATTTCCGCCCTACTTTCGAAATCGCCCAAAGTAGGGCGGATCAGGAGTCAGGGAGGCCGAACACGGTCTCCTCGCAGATGGTCCCGCACTCCTGCCGCACGCGCCTTTGACTCGGCCTTCCCGATGCACCTGTCGAGCTGCCACGCCTGCTCCATGGTGCGCTTGGCCGATCCCACGGACGGCACAGTCGGTGCGAGGAGGAGGAGGAGGAGGAAGAGGAGGAGGAGCAGGAGGAGGGAGGGGAAGGAGGAGGAGGGGAAGGAGGAGGAGGAGGAGGAGGAGGAGGAGGAGGAGGAGCGCTCAACCGTGAACGCCCGCAGCGGGGTCGCCGCGGACAGTTCCTGGATCCCCACCTCGCAGCGCCCAGCCCCCACACTGCCCCCCAGCTCGAGCAACGGCTCGTGCAGGCGCAGCTTCGGCAGCTGGTCGACGGTGTAACCGCAGGTCGTGGAAGCGGTTGCCGTCGAGGTCCAACCAGACCTCTGGATATGTAGTTCCACTGGTAGCGCATTGATGGCAGGAGGAGGCCGAGCATGAGCAGCAAGACGGAGACCAGCAGAGAACGACTGAAGACCATGGTTGCCCCAGACGCCTGGTGGTGTGCTGCTCTGCCAATCCGAAGCCTGAACCTCTTTGCGGGGTCTCCGCAGCGTGTACACCCCACTGGCGCCAGGCATCGTTTTTGCTACATCCGCAGGGTTGACAGTTCCACTTCGGCTCGGACCAATCAGTCCACTTCTCATTGCTCCTGTTGAAGTCCGCCGATCCGGCGTGTGAGTTTCAAGGAGTCTCAGCTACAGCCTCGAGGCTGAGCCTCAGCCTCTGGGGGGGTTGCCGGGGTGGCGCTGCCGGGGAAGGGGGGATGGGGGGGGGTGCGAGTTTCCGCCGGCGGATGCGGGGCGCTGCTTTTACAGAAGGCTCTAATCTCGAGGATACGCTGGAAGGGTGGCCGCGGCCGCAAAAGTCTCTGAGGACGGTCTGAGAAAGTCCCGAGACCCCGAAGGATCGCCCGAACACGCCCAAGATGGCCCCAAGACGGCCCAAGAGCCTTCCAAGACGTCTGAAGAGGCCTCCAAGAGGCCTCCCACGATGGCCCCCAGAGACAAAAATCGTTGATTCCCATTGGTTTTTTCAATGTTTTTGGGGTTGTCGTTTTTTTCGGCTTTCCGACGCTCCAAGACGGCCCAAGAGGCTCCCAAGACCGCTCGAAGACGGCCCAGGAGGCCCCCAGACAGTCCCAAGACGGCCCAAGAGGGCCCCAAGGCGGCCCAAGAGCCGCCCAAGACGGCCCAACAGGCCCCCAAGACGGCCCCAAGAGGACCCAATAGAGGGACGAAAAGCAGCAAAAAATCTAGCCTTCCAGCCACGAGGCCCCCAGGAGGCCCCAAGAGCCTCCAAGAGGGCCTCCGAAAGCCCCCAAGAAGCCCCCACGACGCCCTGACAGGCTCCTAAGATGGCTCAAAAAACGCCCCAAGAGGGCGTCCTTGCGCCGATAGGCTCGCCTCCACCGCTCGCACCACATCGTCCAGGCCACATGTTTCGTAACAAGACTCCGTGCAAGACGCATCGTGAGTTTCCAAAGTGATCGGCATCCTGTATGGAATTTTCATGTCATTATTATTTCCCGTCCCCACGGTCACTGCAAGCACCCCGCCGTTGATAGAACCACTGTTGCGAGATGGCTCTATTGACCCAACTGCATTCCTACGCCCTTTCGAAGGTAACCCGAGAAGTTTGTGCGTTTGAGTGTGGGCCATAATGTCTGCGTCTGGAGAATAACACCGAGCGACCCGGATCGGCGGCACTGGCCGAAGGCCACTACAATATACCACCAACGTCCATCGCGCCCCATGTGCTCCAGGTGCGGGCCCCGCTCAGTGGTGCGAGGGATCGTGAGAGCGAGGGTACAAGTCCCTCAGCCTGAAAGCTCTCAGCCACAGCCGTTTGCCGACCACGGAAGCTGAGGATACGAGAAGTTGCTGCTCTGTCCAGCTGCCTCCAGAGATTGCATCTTGGGCCAAAAATATATTGAGCCAAAACGGTTACGGTTCCCTCTCCTCCTCCTCCTCCTCCTCCTCCTCCTCCTCCTCCTCCTTTTTCCTCCTCCGCCTCCTATTCCTCCTCCTCTTTCTATTCCTCCTCTTCCTCCTCCTCCTCCTCCTCATCATCATCCTCCTCTTCTTGTTCTGACTAGTAATCACAGTAGCATCATCATTATGAAAATCAGCATCCTTACCACTACAAATATTATTTGTGGCATGATGATGAATACTAGTGGTAGTAATACGAAGATGGTGATTGTTATTGTTACTCGAGTCAGTATGCTTACAAGTGTTCAGATCATGCTCTCACGTTTATCAGTATGGCTCTGCTTAGTGCGGTTATTAGTATTAGTAATATTAAGACTGGTGGGCGTAGAAGTATGGCCATTATTATGATGATTGATCTTATGATTGCTATTATTATGAATAGTGTGCTTTTAATTAAAGTAGTAATAATGTGATTGTTCTTACTCTTATGTTTCTTAGTATTCGTCGTCCTCCTCCCCCTCCTCCTCGTCCTCCGCCTCCCCTTCCTCCTCCTCCTCCTCCTCCTCCTCCTCCTCCTCCTCATCATCATCATCATCATCATCATCATCATCATCAGCATCATCATCATCAGAATCATCATCATCACCATCACCATCATCAGCATAATCATCGTCATCGTCAGCATCATCATCATCATCATCATCATCATCATCATCGTCGTCATCATCATCATCATCAGCAGCATCAGCATCATCACCATTATCATCAGCATCATCACCATTTCCACCATCATCATAATCAGCATCAGCATCATCATCATCATCAGCAGCAGCATCATCATCATCATCATCATCATCATCATCATCATCATCATCATCATCATCATCATCATCATCATCATCATCATCATCATCATCATCATCATCATCATCATCATCATCATCATCATCATCATCATCATCATCATCATCATCATCATCATCATCATCATCATCATCATCATCATCATCATCATCCATTATCATTCCTCCTCGTTCCTAACCATCATCCCCGTCCTCCTCCTCTTCTTCTCTCCCTCCTCCTCTCCTCTCATCATCATCATCATCATCATCATCATCATCATCATCACCACCACCACCACCACCACCACCATCATCATCATCATCATCATCATCATCATCATCATCATCATCATCATCATCATCGCTCCTCTTCGTTCCTCTTCGTTCCTCCTCGCTCCTCCTCGTTCCTCCTCGCCCCGCCTCGCTCCTCCTCGCTCCTCCTCGCTCCTCTTCGTTTCTCTGCGCTCCTCGTTGCCCAATCCCTTTCCCTGGAAACCTCCGCCACCGTGCCCTTGGGCACGGAGTGGGCGTGCCCTCAGAATTGGTAAATCGCCTTAGCGTTCATGGCGTAACTGATGGGTTCTGGCGCATTCTGTCAGATGACCTTTCGGGGCCCAAGACGCCCCCAGAACGCGCCAAGAGAGCCCCAAGAGACCCCCAAGACGGTCCAAGTGGAGCCCGAGGCGCCCAACGACCGCACCGAGACGCCCAAGGTGGCCCCAGGACGGCCCAAAAGGCCGCCAAGACGACCCAAGAGGCCTCAGAGAGGCGCCCCAAACGGCCCCGAGAGGCAAAACTCATTGATTTTCGATCGGTTTTTCAAACGGTTTGGCCTTCTCGCATTTTCGGCTTTCCGACGCTCCAAGACGGTCCAGGGCCTCCAAGATCGCCCTCAGACAACCCAAGAAGCCGCCAAGAAGGTCCCAAGACCGCCCAAAAGGGCCCCAAGACGGCCCAAGAGGCGCCCAAGACGGCCCAAGAAAGCCCCATGACGACGCCGCGAAGGCCCCAAAAGGGGGACCACGAACTGAAATTCGAGCCTTCCGCCTTGAGAGGGCCCCAGGAGGCCCAAGAAGCCCACAAGAGGCCCCAAGAGGCCCTCAAGAACCCCCCAGGAGGCCCCCTTCTGGGCCTTGCATCGTCTCCCCGCGCTGCTGTCTCGGATCCAACTGGGCTCCAAAACGGGCCCCGCGAGCTCGAAATGGCCCTCGGGACTACCCGAGAGGGTCACAAGAGGCTGCCCACCCAGACGCGGAGGCGCCATGGGCCAAAGGCCATTCGACAACTCCTGCCTGCCGCACCCCCTGGGATGTGTCAGGAGGAGGAGGAGGAGGAGGAGGAGGAGGAGGAGGACGAGGAGGAGGAGGAGGAGGAGGAGGAGGAGGGGGAGGAGGAGGAGGACGAGGAGGCGAGGAGCGGGGCGTTCTGCGCGAGGCCCCCCCCACGAGCCACGGGCCCTGCGGATGGACACGTGCAGCAGCTCCACGGGCGGAGCACGGGCCCTGCTGCCCGGAGTGTGGCCCTCGCCTCTGCGCCGCACTCCTCCTCCTCCCCCTCCTCCTCCTCCTCCCTCCTCCTCCTCCCTCTCCTCCTCCTCCTCCCTCTCCTCCTCCTCCTCCTCCTCCTCCTCCTCCTCCTCCTCCTCCTCCTCCTCCTCCTCCTCCTCCTCCTCCTCCTCCTGCTGACACATCCCAGGGGGTGCGGCCCTGGCCCGCTGCGCCGCACAGGCGCGCCGCAGAGGTCCGCAGCAGCCTCGCGGGCGGCGGGCGGGTCCTTCCTTCTGCCCGGAGTGTGGCCCTCGCCGCTGCGCCGCACAGGCGCGCCGCAGAGGTCCGCAGCAGCCTCACGGGCGGAGGGCGCGCGCCTTTCGAGATGTTGCTATCGCCTCCGCGCCGCGCAGGCTCGCCCCCCAAGGGCCTGCAGCCGCTCCAGGGTGTGCAGGGCGGGCCCTTTTCCAGGACGTGCCCCTCGCTTGGACGATGCGCACATTCGCTCAAGAGCTGGTCAAGGTTTGATTATGGAAGGGCGGCTCTTTTTCAAAATATGGCTCGCGCCCCAGCGCCGCGCAAACTACTCTTGAAACCTTGCGGCAGCTTCAAGAAGTCATACGGTTGAGGCCCCAAAAACGGTGTGCCAACAGGATTAAAGCATGTCAAGACGCAAAGAGTCATGTTGGATCGTTGCTGAAATCCCAGGAACGATTTTCTGGTACGGTTTGCGATTGGTCAGGGAGCAACAGTCACGTTGATCCGCGGTGTTGAGATCCTGGGAAGTTTGTTTTGGCACGATTGAGGATTGTCGGACGGCTGTCTTCGAAAATGCAACTTCCCACAATGAAAATTATCCTAGCGAAACACCCTGATAACAGCTAAAGTGTGGAGACGGATGGACGCATGAAACGTCGGCTTGCAAGAACGGCTTCGTCAGATTGCCGCTACGACTGCGGAGTCAAACTTGCTGGTGAGGGTGACGTTCGTGATGTCAACATGGTGACATGAGCGCGCTTGGAGCAGCATGAGGGACCAAACGACCCCACTCCTGGCAGCTGGAATGGTTAGAAGCCTACGGCCCTGCCACAGTTTCTGGACCTAGGACAACTGGAATGGTCAGATTCTGGTGCCCCTGATACAAATTCTGGACCTGCGCCGCTGAAACCGAGACAATACACCATAGTGAGTCTAACTTCTGGATTTGCGAATATGGCATCGAACTAAAACATGTGGCCCCCTCTGTGAAAATTCAAAGAAAACGAACCATTGCACGGAAATCGAGCCAAAACACAATAGTGAGCCTCATTTCTTGACCAAATCGAACGAGAACACCATAGCGAACCTCCTTTCTGGATCTGAGAGGGCTGAAATCGAGCAAGAACACCATAGTGAGCCTCAGTTCTAAACCCAATCGAGCCAGAGCACCATAGTGGGCTTCATATCTGGATCTGCGGTAACGAAATCGAGCCAGAACACTCGGCCCCCCCTGCGAAGATTCGCATGAAAGGAAAGACTGAACTGAAAACGAGCCAACATACCATAGTGAGCCTCATTTCTTGACCAACTCGAGCCAGAACACCATAGGGAGTCTCCTTTCTGGATCTGGGAGGGCTGACATCGAGCCAGAACACCGTACTGAGCCTCATTGTTTGGCCAAATCGATGCGAGGCGGGGATTTATCCATATCCACCGCCTGGGAACCAACGTCCTGGTGTCCCAGCGGGCGGTGGATATGGATATAGTTCCGCCCCCTGGGGCCCGAATATGTGCATATCCACCGCCTGCCGAGGCTCCGAAAACTGACCCTCCAGGCGGTGGATATGGATAAATTCCCGCCTCGGAATCGACCCAAAACACTAGACAGAATCTAATTTCTGAATCTGGGAGGCCTGCAATCGAGCCAGAACACCATAGCGGGCCGATTATGGCTAGGCCAGATCGAGCCAGAACACCGTGGTGAAATTCCTTTCTGTACTACATAGAGCCAAAACACAGTAGCGAATCACCTCTGGACCGATTCCGGACCGCCGCCAGGGCTGGGAGATGCCTCCCTTCCCCCGGCCCCCCCTGCGGAGATTCTGGTGGGAGAATGTGTTGATCTCTATCAGAACCCTTTCAGCGAAACGCGCGATCAGGGAATACAAGATTCCAGGGACCTATGAAAGGGGGAACTTGGAGAGAGGGTGTCTTGCAACATCGTTTGTGCGTCTTGGGCTTGCAGTGCTCCTCCTCCTCCTCCTCCTTCTCCTCCTCCTCCTCCTCCTCCTCCTCCCCCTCCTCCTCCTCCTCCTCCTCTTCCTCCTCCTCCTCCTTCTCCTCCTCCTCCTCCTCCTCCTCCTCCTCCTCCGCCTCCTCCTCCTCCTCCTCCTACTCGTCCGCCTCCCCCTCCTCCTCCTGACCAGCGAGCAGCCCGACAGGCGAGCGGCACGCCCTGCAATCGCAAGCCGCCCGAGCTCTCGCCGCCAGCGATGCATGCGGAGCCACGGTCACTGCTGGGCACTGTCGAGCTCGGCGGCCGAGAGCTGCACGATCCTCACAGGCCTCATGTCGTGCAGAAGTACT